TTTGTTTCATATTTCCTTGAGAAAACAGAAATCATCTTTCAGGAAGTCTCCCATCTTTTAATCAGGAATTCATCTACTTAGCTGATCCTCACTCACCCATCCCTGTCTTCCTTCCTACTACCCTTGATGAAAAGCCCTTACTCTTAACTAAGACCAGGACTCACTTGTACTTTGGACCTATCTTATCTTCTAAAGGATTTTGATTCTGTGAGTGTCCCTGTATTTAGGGCATTAGTTTGTAATCCCTACAGGGTTATTTCCATCAGCACATAAATAAGCTATACTATCATTTGTCTGAGGGGGAAAAAACTCCAGTTTCTTCTTCATTTTCTAGTTTCCATTCATAGCAAAAGTTCTTATTAGAATTGTCTATTCATCATTGTCTTTTCTTTCCTACATTTTCTGCAAAGCCCACTTCAATCAGACTTTCTTCCTCAATACTTTACCCCTATTTTCAAGGTCACTAATGACTTTTTAGTTGCTAAATCCAGTGGTTATTTCTATGCTTTAATTTTATTTAACCTTCCCCTGGGATGTGTCCCACATCTTCCTTAAAATATTTTTTGTTTCTTTTTCTTTTCCCTTGTATTATGTTACACTATATATCTTGGAAATCCTGACACATAGATGTTTGTAATTTATTAAGACAGTTCTCTCAGAAGAAACCTGCCCGGGAGTGAGGGAACCTGGACAGGGCAGGGAAGGAATCTGGGTAAAGAGGTGGTTCCAGGAAAAATGTAGTTTCAGCCCAATCCCTCCAGAGCTCTGGAAATGCCTTGCAGCACAGAGGCAAAGGGGTTGGGCAGTTATGTCCTGGCATCGGTCGTGGGCTAGGGGCTGTCTGGGAGGATGGAGCAGAGGCATGACCTTCCAGGTAAAGCCTGGAATTCCTTGCAGTTAAAGAAAATTATTCTGAGAAGGGTGCAGGAGAAAGTCCTCACAGGAAAAATGGTAGCTGGGGATGGAGCACTCCTCAGCTGTGGGATGTGGTGTCTCAGATGCTTTAAGTGGCCTATCTTTTCCTTCTACTACAGCCACTCCTCAGTTGCTTCTTCTGTTGGGCTCACGTTCTCATATGTTACAATCCCAAATTATACCTTTTACTTACTGAAAGCTCACAAATTTATCCTGGGGCCCTGATTACTCCAGAGACCACTAGAATTGCATTTACAACTCCTACTATTTTCATTTGAAGATCTAAAGGGCATCTTAATTTTAACATGGATAAAACAAAACTTGATTCCTTGTCCCTCCTCCAAACCTATCCTTGTCCCGGTTTCCCCATTTCAGATGCTTAAGTTCCAAAGTTAGGTGTTATTCATGATTCTTCTATTTCTCTTACATCTTACAACCTTCTGGCTCTTCATGCAAAGCATATCCCAAACCCATCCAACTCTCTCCAGGTCCGCCACCCGCTTCCTAGCTCAAGCCGTTGCCTCTTGCCTGTACCATTGCAGTATTCCCTCCTTAACCTCTTTGTGTTTCACTTCTTGCTGCCCCTGAAGATTCTGCTGTACGGATGCCAGAATGATCCTGTTAAAACATATGTCAAGTAATGTTACATATATGCGTAAAACCCTACCATCGTTTCTCACTGAACTTAGAGTAACATCTCAACTCCTTACTCCAGTTTATGAAACCATATGTAATCTGGCCCAAGTATACCTTTCCAACCTCTTTTTTGCTGAGTGTTCCTCTGCTTACAGTGCTCAGCCATAACAGCTGCATCTCCTGGCCTCTTCAACCTCACCAAGAATGTGCTTGCTTTGGAGTCTTTATTTTGACTGTTTCTTCTTCTTTATTGTCACTCAGATCTCAGCCTATATATATCCTTCTAAGACAGGTTTCCCTGATCAACAAATCACATTCTTCTCACTCTTTATAATGCTGTCTGTTATTTTTATATTAATTTGTTTAGCCATTTATTCATTGGATCATTGCTTTCTTACTGTGTAAATGCCTTAAGGACAAAGATGTTACATGTCTTATGCATATAATGAATATTTTTAAATAAGTGAATAAATGAATGGTGACCCACCTGCTTTAAGAGATATGTATCTACTTAGAAGATGTACAGTTTAGACTGCATTTTTAAAACAATTCGTTTATGGGTATATTTCTAAGCATCAAAAAACCCACACACAAAAAAAACCAAAAACTAAACCAAAACTAAAACACACCCTTCTTTACGGTCAAGATTGATTATAATCTGTGATTTCCCCTTGACATACCATGAATGAAATCTAGTTATTATGTACCTTCATGATCTGGGCCAGACTCTTATATTCTGTAAAACAGTGACAAAAAATGTATCTAACTCATACATAAGAACTTACCACGTAACATACAAAATGAGCACTGAACAGTATGTGCCCTTAGCAATATACAGAAAAATTACAAGCTGTTTCTTGTTTATTTTAAAAATGTATGTTACCATCTCTTTTTTTTGGGTGATTATTCACCATGAGTCTCACACTTCTGCACATCCTATAAACAGAGAAACTGGCTGGCTTTGTTTTGGATTAATTTTTCCAGTATAATTACGTAGCAGATAGCCTTGGAAATTACAAATAGTGTCTCCCTCTGGAGCAAAGGGCAAGGCATGGTTACTGCCCATCATAAAAGATTCAGGGTTCCTAAACTCATTGTTCCTGTTCAGTAACACAGCCTACTTCACGTCCAGGTTATCTCTTGCATTCCTTGCATCTCCAGTGCAAAAATAGTAATACTCTGGACACTTCTATTTGTCTAAGTAATAAACTGTCCCTTGTACCTTTCCCAGAGGTCCCATGTTTTCCACCAGCATTCATGAAACTGTGGCAGGTTCACTTGTTAGCTTGTAAACTGGGTAAAATCTTGGGCCTTTCACAAGCCTGACACACTCTTTCTCGCCAGTCCTCATGGAGCTTTTGTTGGACTCTCAGCACTGCTAGACTGCTGCACATGTTTCACCAAATTTTGGCAAAAGAATGAAATCTACCTCAATTTTGGAAGAGAGATTTTAAATAGTCACTTTGATAGGGAAATAATGAACTCCCAAAGATGCCCATACCTAATCCCCAGATCCTCTGAATGTGTTAGATTATATGACAAAGGGGAATTAAGGGTGCAGCTAGAAGTAAGGTGGATAGTCAGCTAACCTGAAGATTGAGAGGTTACCCTAGAGTATACAGGTGGACCCACTGTCATTGAACCCTTGAACACAAGGGTTTTTAAATATGGAAGAGTCAGCATTAGTGTGATGTGATTTGAAAAAGACTCAACCAGCCACTGTTGGCTTTAAAAGTGAAAGGGAGCTACAAGCCAAGAAATGGAGGCTGACTCTGAGAGTTAGGAAAGGCAAGCAAATAGATCATCCCCTGGAGTTTCCAGAAAGGAATGCAGCTCTACCAACAGCTTGATTTTAGTCAGTGAGACTGTTTCTGATTTCTGATTTCCAGAAATATAAGATGAATTTGTGTTGTTCTAAGCCACAAAGTTTGTGGTAATTTTTTATAGCAGTTATAGGAAACTAATAAAGTTACAGACTGGATAAAGTTGCTACATTAATGTATTTTAACTTCACATTTACAATAGAAGAAGGCCTCCAATATGGTAGTAGATGTATTATACTTTTATAAATTAGGATAATGGTAATTCTCAGATGAAAGCACATATGCAAGTGAAATCTTTACCATGAATTCTTAGGATAAGGAATTCTATCGTAAGCATATAAATGTATATTTCTTTGTATTAATTTAAAACATTGTCTTACATCCATAACAAGTAATAGGTGACATTTAAATATAAATTGTGAATGGCTTCAATTTTCTTCTTAATTTTTTTTTTGAGATGGAATTTTGCTCTTGCCCCCGCTAGAGTGCAATGGCGCGATCTCAGCTCACTGCAACCTCCTGGATTCAAGCGACTCTTCCTGCCTCAGCCTCCTGAGTAGCTGGGATTACAGGCATGTTTCACCATGCCTAGCTAATTTTGTATTTAGTAGAGACGGGGTTTCTCCACGTTGGTCAGGCTGATCTCGAACTCCCAACCTCAGGTGATACCCCCGCCTCGACCTCCAAAAGTGCTGGGATTACAGGCATGAGCCACCGTGCCCAGCCCATTTCTTTTTTTATGTAAATTCATTAGTTTGTTAAAACTTCCATGATTCCTTTTATTTTACCCTTACTATTAAAATTCTAAAGTATGCAATTGGTAATTGAACCTGAATAGTAAATTATGTTTGGGAGTAAAATAAAAGACTCGTTGTATTTTGGAAAGCACAATTACATTTTACAACAAAGAAAATTACTACCGTTTTCTGGAACAATTCTGTATTACTGATTTATTGGATTACAACATCAGGGAGGAACTTTTTAACATCTCTTATGTGCAGTTCTTCCTAGGTCTAACCAATCTGTCATCAGCAGGACAGATACCTATAGAGTAGATCTTTTCTACCCTTATTATCCCATTTCATTAGTTTCTTTTCTAAATTTTGTCATTACATAGAGTGACATCAAAGCTAAGGCCCCCCCCAGGCTGTAAACATGTAATAGAGCAGTCTTATTGGCCTGCATGAGAGCTCATTTGGAAGTAGTGTGTCAGGAGGACCTAAGATCATTGGCCCTGTTTCTGTTTTCAGGAACTTAGTCCCTTTGCTGAGTGTTTAATAGTTTGATTCTATGGGTGACAATGTTCGGATACTCTTAAGTTGCTCAAATGATTTATAAATGGATCACAGGTTGTTTTTACATATCCTTGGAATGGTATGTAATACAATTTTAATGAACTTAAGTGCTCTAATTAAAAATTAAATTGTGCTTTAATTAACATAAAGTGAGCATGAAGCTCAAATGAGCTTTATTTATAAAGATAATTTCAAGTATAAGTGAAATCATTGTTTAAGAATATTTTGAAGTTTTATTACGTTACATAGATCTGAGCAAGGGGCTTAATTTTTTTTTTTTTTTATTTGAAAGTGGATAAGTATGGGTCCATTAACCTCTATATGTTTGCAGTTGACAACACTAAATCTGGGAAACAACCTTTTAGAAGAAGTTCCAGAAGAGATGAAATATCTTGTATCTCTGAAGAACCTCCATTTAGCTGGAAATAGGATCTGTAGATTTGCACCTGGAGCATGTGGTAAGTTAGTCAACAAGGAGCAATGTTATAGCATCAAATTTAATTTCATATTTAATAAGATGAGACTGAAACGAAAAAGAATTTTGCATGCTTAATCTTTTTTTTTGTTGGAGATATTTACATATTATTCTTGAAATATAGGAGGAGTTAACACTTTTATAAAGAATTGTATCATATGTTTATTTACATGTAGACCAAAGGAAATAAGTAAGCGTCAGTGTAAATGAATTTTCCCCTTTGGAGAATCAGTATAAAGTCAGACTTGTGAATCTGGGGACCCTTTTCAAAAGCTAGAGAAATTCTATCTGAAAAATCAAGTAAAGCTCTACTGTAGCTTCGTTCTTTTCACTTAGCTATTAAGTCACATTTTTTTATTAAAATGCTAAATTTAAATCAATTTGGAAAGAATTTTAAAGAAAAGATATGAGATCCAATAAGTGACACATTTTTCTTTCTTTTTTCCATTAACTAATAATTTCACCATTCGATATGAGACTATTCTTATTTAATATTCCTAGAGTGAGCTTAAGGATAAATGTATGACAAGAGATCTAGATGGCTTTTATAGCTTTAGCGACTAATGTAAGGTACTTCACCATTTCTGTGTTGGTCCTTAGTAGTAAAACTAGAGAAATATTATAAAATTTATAAATTTCTATGAACTTTTGATGCACAGGTGCTATATATAATCATTTTCATCTTCACACAGAATTTATTAACAGTATTACTGAATGCAGCATTAAATTTGGGCTTATATTTGGCAAATAACACAAGAAGACTCTAGTACTGTCTTCTTAAAGGTACTTTAAAATCTTAGGTCATATATCTTGGAAAAATATTCTTTTCCAAAACAATAGATGTGACAAACAGTTATTGATACTTGAACACATTATATATGGAAAGCCGTAGATCAGAGTTCAGTTACAATTTACCTTGGAAGAAAACAGTTTATACTAAAAAAGTTAAGGTCATGCAAATCAATAGATAATAATATTTTATGACCTATACTGAGGGTACAAATTTAAGTACAACCTGATGTACATAAACAATATTGAGCATACTAATTTATACTAATTTAAGTCTCTATAAGGAATTTTTTATCATGTTGCCTTTAAATTTGAGATAAGTTAGGTATATATATTTATATCTGTTTCTATATCTACATAGATATATTTTATATATGTATATAAAATTTGTTCAAAGTGCTCTTGAATGTCTTTAGTTTCTATACTTTTTTTAAAAAGTAATTATTTTTAAAAATTGACATAGCAATTGTATATACTCATGGGGTACATAGTGATATTTTGATACATATCATATATAGTGATCAGATCAGGGTAATTAGCATAGCCATCATTTCAAACACTTATCATTTCTTTGTATTGGGAACATTCTTGATTTGGAGTTGTTGAACTTTGAAAATTCCACATGATTGACATACGTTATGGTCTATGTTAGGTCCTGATGATTCAGTAAGAAGTAGTTTGATGTCAGGGAGTTTAATGCTGCCCAGCATGGGTCTGAACAACCTTGTTGCATTACATGACCCTGTTTCCCTGACCAGAGCAGATTGATCAGGGCTGGACTTGGGTCCCAAGCTAAGTTTGTCATATTTTCTCTTTTTTGGGGATTGCAATAGAGTCTAAAACAGTTAAATTGGTTTGAGATAATTTCATGACCTGAGGCAGAAGTTGCAAACTGGTGACCCATGGGCTGAATCTGATTAATAAGAAAATTGATTCTATTTTGTTGGCCTTTAAAAAACTTTGGATTAAGTACCCACATTTTCAGATCAGGAGAGTTCACATAGAAGTCTGGATCTCTGGCTCTTTTTAAAAATCTGTTTCAAAAAAGAAAGACATAGCAACACTGCAGTTGCATTCCCATGTGACAGTTGTCAGAGCTGGCTGAATGGTGGTGGCTCTGTCTGACCTGGCATGAGGTTATCATCTTGATTCCTGTAGGCATGTGAGTTTGAAAGCTCTGTCTTCTCTGTCTGTGAACATTCAAATTCAGAAGTTATTATATGGTTATGAGTACATAGAAAAAGAGAGCAAACATGTTTAAAACAGAAAGAATGAAGGGAGGAAAGAGAGAGCAGGTAAGAGAATATAAATGTGAAAATGAGAGAAGCTGTAATGAAGAACTAACCTATAGTTTGTGCCTTTTAGCTTCTGATTTCAGTTTGTGATGAGCCTGGTTGAATCCTCTTCCTTCAGGTACAGTGACTTAGATTTGTAACTTTGTGATAAGTTACTCCTTTTTACTTGAGGTAGTTTAAGAGGGTTTCTGTTACCACCACCAAAAGAGCCTTGGCCAACACAAGAACTAGAGGAAATACAAATGTATGTAGAAAAGTGATGAAAAATTATCTAACAGATGGCTAAAGTGACGAAAATTATTTTCTAACAGATGGCTTACAAAATTTAATCCTGCTTAATCTGAACAACAATCATCTTACGCAGCTTCCTCAAGAAGTCAACAGGTAATTTTCTTTATAGCAAGACTTGGTTAACAATCACACCCCCCTCTCTATCCCCACCCTGGTCATCTGAAAGTGTAGTGCCTAACATCAAGTCCCTATGGGGTTTATAAATAGCAAAGAGGGATCTGAAGGACTCAGGCAAGCCACTAACTTTAAGCAGATGATTCCTTAAACACTTTGGAGAAATGAGCAACAGCATGACTTGGTAGTCTTAATGTAAACATGGGGCTTTGAAACATAAAGTTCCAAAGCTGATGGCATCATTAACTTCCCAACTCTGAGGTTCTTAGGGCTTGGTCAGCCTCAGAATTGGATCTATTAAATGTTATTTCACATGTGTATTGTAAACCATTTTGAGCTTGATGGAAAAGGTAATATAAAAACTAAGGATTTAAAACTGCAATGTCATTTTCATTTTTAAAAGCCACATTTTATTGTCATTAACCAAAAAAAAAAAAAATGCTGTTTTTCCTTATCCTGCACATCTGCACAGGCAGAATGCCTTTCTGGAGCCAGCTGAGGGCCTTGTCCTTCTATAGGCAAAACACCCTCTTGGGCTTTTCCTCTGACAGATGGAGAGAGAACTCTGTTCAGGTTTACTTTGGAGACTCCCTTTATTGCCTGTTGAACAGAAACAGATGTATCACAGAGCAAGAGCATCCAGAGTTTTAAAAGAGAATACCAAACTTTGAAGAGTCCTCAACAAGGGGCTTTCTGCAGCACCTGCCTATTCCAATTTACTTGTCTATACCTCTAGGCAATGCCTTATTTTTCCCAAATATATGACTGTAGTGCAGTGGCACGACCTTGTCTCACTGTAATCCCCGCCTCCTGGGTTTAAGCAATTCTCCTGCCTCCGCCTCCTGAGTATCTGGGACTACAGGAGTGTGCCACCATGCCCAGCTAATTTTTTTCTGTATTTTTAGTAGAGTTGGGGTTTCACCATGTTGACCAGGATGGTCATGATCCCCTGACCTCTTGATTCACCCACCTCAGCCTCCCAAAATCCAGGGATTGTAGGTATGAGCCACTACACCCAGCCTCCCAGATATATTTTTACAAGAAATCAATAGTTTGAGTAAGCGTGACTAGAAAAGAATTGAATCAATCTAATTTCTTTAGAAGATAAATATTTGCAGCAATGAAAATGCCATGCTGATAGTTGTTGGCTTATTTTTTTACTTATTCACTTTATCAATTGATTTATGTATTGATGATGATATAATTTAAAAAATCCCTTGGGAGATCTCATGAATGAGGTTCAGGGCATATCTCTGTGCAACTAGATTTGTGCATTTGGGCAAGTAATTTAACTGCTTAGGACTGCTGCTTTCTCATCTCTAAAGGAATAATTTTGAATAGATCAACCTCAAACTTTTTGTAGCTATAACATGATTTCATAATTTCATACACTTATCTCTGTTTGGAATACAAAGTATATTCAAGGGATCATATAAATCTAATGGAATATGTTAGAAAGATGAAAGAATGCTTTCACTGAAGCAGATTGCAAAGTGTATAGGTCTATTCCATTTTATAGTTAATTCTGGGTTGTCTGTATTCTGGCCATATCCTAGGTGTCAACTGATTGGTAATCTCTCTAAGCAGAATTCCATTTTCTGATCCTGGGAAAGTTTCTTCACCTTCCTATGTTTTAACATTTTCATCTGCAAAATAAAGATGATGATAATGCTTTCTTTATTGGATCGATTTGACGGTTAAATAAGCAAATCCATACAAGACATTTAGGGTTGAGCCTGAGACATAAAAGGTATTAGGGTTGAGTAAGTGCTCAATGGATGTTAGCTTTTATTATTATTGGTTGTTATTTTTATTCTAGCTTCTTTCCGTTCTCTTTGTTCACTCATTTCCAGAGACAAAAGAATGACTTCCCAGTGGATTTAGGCAAAGCATTGAGCATATATAGCTTGGCATTCTCCTTTTGCCCTGCCACGAAGTAAGCGGCTGCCTCAGAAGGAAAGGCTGTGAAGGGGTGGTACATTTAATTCAGAGGAGGGCTAGCAGGGACTCAGAGTGATCATGTCAGTTCTGTGCTGATGTTTGATTTCCTTCTCTCTAAATCCCATATCTTATTTCACAATTTGTTTAAAACTTAGGAGAGGGAAAAGGAGTTTTGTTTTTTGGCTAGTTTAAACTCCAGAATATCAGTTCATGGACTAGGAGCCAAACCTGGATAGGTAAGAGTTTTACCACTAAACAACTCTGTCATGGGCAGTGCTGCCCAGGCACAGGAAGAGGAGAACGTAGGCATCCTGGTGACAGAATGAGTCTGGAAGAAAGAGATAAGAGTAAAGGACTAGTCAGCAGGCTCAGTTCTTTCTCCAAATTTGCCAATCAGTGAAATTGTTCTTCAGTCTTTTGGGGAAGACAGATGTGAGGGAGAAGCTGCAAGTACATTTCCTGTAGATTTTATTTGGAAAAGTAGAACATCTCCCCGCTTTGTGGAAACAGGAACAATGACAGATACTCATTTCTCTCCCTCCTCTTTACTCACACAAATGAATGACAGACAAATGAACGATAGGATCTGAGCTGATTTTATTGCCTTGAAATAAAAAAAATGAACAAGCCAACTCCCATAATGTAGTACATCAGAGTAGAGTAAATACAAATAATGATTATAAAAATGATTAATGAGGAAAATTTCCCTTCCCATTCCCCACAGAACCTGCTCCACACATTTTCACTCCATTTCAATGCTGAGTTGTCCTTCTTTGACCCACTATACTGCAAAGGACTTTACTTCCTATTTTCCTATTTTCCTAAAATTTATGCTCCCTGAATTCTCTTCTTTTCTGCCTCTTTCTCTCCATTGGTCTATTTCTTTCCTTTCTCTCTTGCTTCTTTGTTATCTCTCTCTAAAGCACCCTCTGTCTATTGCTTTTGCTTCCTGTGTAAGACATTGCACATTTTCTTGTCTCTTCTCCATTCTACCGTAGATCATTTTCAAATGTTGTTATTGTCCTTTACATATAATGGCCTTTTTCTCCTGCTGAATAAAAATTACATAAAACTGATGAGCATACAATTCAATGCATTTTGACAAATGTGTACACACCAATAACATGTAGAACATTTTCTTTAGCCTAGAAATTTCCTTATGCACCCTTCCAGTGAATTCTTACCTTTCATAAACAGTCAATATTCTGATTTCTGTCTTCTTTACAAATGAGTTTTACTAGTCCTAGAACTGAGTAAGTGGAGTCATATATATACATTTTTGTGTCTGTCTTCTTTTGCTTAGCATATTTTTTGAGACTCACTTAACTGTTGCATTTATTAGCTTCACATGGTAGAAGGGGAAGGAAGCTCTCTGGGGCATTTTGTAAGGACATTAATCCCATTTATGAGGGTTTACCCCCTCATTATGACCTAATCATCTCCCAAAGGCCCCATCTCCTAGTATCTATCACATTGGGGATTAGATTTTAACATATGAATTTTGAGGGAACACAAATATTCAGACCATAGCACTATCATTTCCCCAATACCATTGATCTTGATTACTGTCGCTGCGTTATAGGTAATGTGAGTCTTTCGATTTTATTCCTCTTTATAATAGTTTGACTATTCTAGGTCCTTTGAATTTCTGTATCAATTTTAAAATTGATTTTTTTTAAAGATGGGTTCTCACTATGTTTCCCAGGCTGGTCTCAAACTCTGGGCTCAAGCATTCCTCCTACCTTAGCCTCCCAAAGTTCTGGGTTTACAGGCATGAGCCACTGCACCTAGCCCAAGTCAAGTTTTATACAAAAAAAGCTGTTGGAATTTTTATTTGGATCTATTACTGAATCTATAGATCAGTATTAAAAAGTTGTTATCTTAGCAATATTTTTCTTTTCTATACCTGAATATAATACATCTCTGTTTTATTTAGAGCCCCTTTACATTCTCTCAGTCATGATTTATAGTTTTCAGTGTCCCTCATGTCTTTTGTTATATGCACTCATAACTACTTCATGAAGGGTTTTCTATACATTACTATAAACAAAATTCTTAAACATTTATTTTCTAGTTGTTCGTGGCTACAGTATGGAAATACAATAGATACAATAGACTATATTAAAAATCTATTGTAGTTTGTGACCCTGCTTTTAGTTCCACTAATTTTGTTTGTTAGTTTGGATTATCTCTCTTTAACATTTAAACTTTTGACCATCTCTTTAATTTTGAAATTTTCTTCTCTCACACCTTCAGAGATTCCTTGTTAATCTGGTTCTTTTTCTAATTCTATGTTTATAACTTTGCTGGGTGCCTTTAATTAATGGTCAGGTGTTTATATTTCTCAAGAATCCCTCTATTGGCATCCTCTTTCTTCTCTCTGCCCATTTTCTTTTGTTGTTCTTCCTGTCAGTCCCATATATTCATATGGCTTATACTATGTACAGAGAAATCTGTAGAGTCCTCACAATTCCCTTTGCTAGCACTGATCACTTTCTAACCTCCAGTCTCCCATTTTAAACTAACCTAAAAATTTAGTTCCCTCATTCTGACATTACTTCAATCTTAATACACTTAAGCCTTGAGATCATTACATCTTAGCTTTGCAAAGGGACACACCTGCATTAGAATTTTGATATTGTTACCTACTAGATAGGTAACTTGGACAATTTATTTACTACCTCTGATGCTTATTTTCCTCATTTTTAAAATAAGAGTAGTAATTCCAACCTCAGAGTTATGCTGACAATTAAATTTAATGCACAGCCATGTAGTTGTGCTTAGTAATGTTAAATTCCCTTCTGCTTCCTTATTCATAATATTTTTCTTAGCTTACTATTCCCTCTTATTGCCCTATTTTATAAGTTCTTTTATTCAGGGCCAAATTCAAAATGTCAATTCTTTAGAAAAGCTTGCAATATACTTCTGGTACCATATCTGCAATTAGAGACTCAAATTTTCTTAAGCTTTTTCTCTTAGCCAATGACATTTTCTGTTCTCAGTTTATGGCTCTATTTAATATTTTCTTCTAAACCATGGTATCCAAAAGGGCAGAATTTGTGTCTGATTCATCTTTGAACTTCCAAAGCAATCGAGCAGTACTCATATATATGTGGTCCTGGGTATATTTATATCTATGTGTGCTTATGCCTGTACATGTATTGATCTGTATCCATGTTTGTGTATACATAGGTATGTCAGTGTCCTCCTTGTCCTCTAGCTTTCTCTTGGATATGGCCAATGAATATGTATAAAGAAAGGAAATAGAATTTTCTTTTTTAAAAATCTAACTTTTGATTACCTAACATACTTTTAACGTAAGCCATCTGATTATAAAAGATCTTTAAAAATTAAATTTCAGCAAAAACTTTTTATACTTATAATTTACGATAGATGTAAACACTTGACTGAAGTAAGCTCAGATGAGCTACAAAAAACAAATTCATACATGGCTTCTGATAATTTGGGCCTATACAGTAGACTCTGTTATTCTTGTGAGTTTCATTTATATACTTTGGTGTTTTTTTCTTTTAGATTAAAAAGTCTTACTCATATGAGTATAAATTTTAACCAACTAGCCAGCATTCCTAGAGAACTTTGTTTTCTTAAGAATCTTTCTGAACTTCAACTTAACTACAATGAGCTAAAATGCATACCTGAAGAGATTAAGTTCTTGAAGAAGCTTCAGAAACTTTTGCTAGCCAGAAACAACATTGGAGTTTTGCCAAAGGTGAGCAAAACATGGAACCACACTATTGTGTTGTTGGAGAAGAACTCAACATGATGGGAGGTGGTTATAGATTAGATTTTGGTATCTGAGTATAAGCCATCACTTGCTTTTCCTCAGATTAAATGTAGCCATTTCCCAAATCCCTATGATAAAGGAAGGCTGTAATTTGAATTATCCCACCTAGCTAGGGCGGCCAGATTTAATAAATACAATATAGAATGCTCACTTAAATTTGAATTCCAGATAAACAATGATTAAATTTTTTACTGTAAATATGTTGCTAATATTGCATGAAATATACTAAAAAACCTATTTATTGTTTGATATTTCAGTTTAATTGAGCAGTATATCTGGTAACCAGGTATACAGAACAAAATACAAGTTCATTTTGGCTTTGGAGCATGTACTGGCTCTCCTCGCTTTTTCCTTCATATTCACTGTCCATCCTGCCTTCTGCTTGGGAGATTGACCTCTGTGGGCATCAGTGAACCCCTTTGTCCTCTGGTTTCCTCTTGGATATGGCAGATGAGAGGCACTGGCAGGAAGTGACAGGGCAGGAGGATTGTAAGTAGTTGATGATATTCCCATGGTACCTTCTCTGACAGGGTGCTGTGGGTTAGCTGTGTGCCTTTCTGGAAGGCCACAACTAGTGAACTAATAATATATTTAGATAGATAGATAGATAGATAGACAGATAGATAACATGGGATTTATTAGGGGAATTGGCACACATAATTTTGGAGACTGAGAAGTCCTATAGCAGGCTATCTGCAAGCTGAAGACCCTGGGGTGCTGGTAGTGTGGCTGAGTCCAACTCTAAAAACCTCAGAACCAGGGAAGCCAACGGTGTAATTCTTAGTTGGAGGTCAAAGGCCTGAGAACAGGGAGGTTGTGGTGGTGGTAATGGTGTAAATTTTAAAGTCTAAAGGCTGGAGAGCCTGGAGTTCTGAGGTCCAAGGGCTGAAGTGTCCCAGCTCCAGGCGAGAGAGGAAATCACATTTTTTTTTTTTTTGTATCCAGATCACTAACTGATAGGATGGTACACAACAACACTGAAGACTAATCTTTCCCACTCCATCTACTGACTCACATACCCATCTCCTCTAGAAACACCCTCACAGACACACCCAAAACAAAGGGTTACCAGCATTCTAGGTATTAGTTAATCCAGTCAAGTTGACACCTAAAATTAACCATCACACTAGACTTCTTATAGTTCTATCCCAAACAACTGTTTGCTCTTAATGGAACATTATTTGTTCTAAAGAACTAAGAATCTCAGCTTAAACTTCACTTTTTCCAGGAAGCCTTTTCTGACCTCCTAATACCAAATTTTCCTTGTATCACCATTTCCCTAACCCTTCATAACACTTTTCATTCTCATAGCACAACTTTGTCATTGCCTATTTGTGAATTTTTAAATCTTCATTGAATATTTGTGAGGGGTATACACATGCAAAGATTAGAAAAAGACAGCAACAGGTATCAACAGCAATAATAGTGGCAGTCATGGCAGCAAAAACAAATGTAAACGAAAGCGTCGCCGGCAATGGAAGTAATACAATCAAGTGTTTTCAAGTAGGGTGAGAAGCCCGTATATCATAACATGAGATACTGAAGGAACGCACTGGAGTCTGAAAATCTGTAGCTCACGTAATACAAAGGAGAGTATCATGGCAATGGAAGACTATGTAGGACTTAGGAAGAGAACTGTGTGCGTGGTAGAGGGCTCCGTTCAAGCACTTACTGCCTAGCTGTAGGGAATGTAGGGAATGGGGATTTTAGACAGCCTCCAGCTGTTAGCTCTTTCAGAGTCTGCCTTAGCTGCAGAGAGCCTCTTTTTTTGCCCAAGGTCATATGCTGTTCCTAAAGCATTCTGGATCCTGTGACCAAACAAGGGAGGGATATAAAGGCTTGGCCATTTCTGCCTGATGGAGAATAATTTGGATGGGCAATAGCCCTCTGGAGCTCCCCACCCACCTACACAAGATTCTATTGTGTCTGAATTCTACCTCAACTTCCCCATCTGCTCAGTCCTGCTTCCTGACCCTGCCTTTTACAAGGGTGATCCTTAATAAATATTTAGCACCTCAAGTTCCATCTCAGCATATGCTTCCAGAGCATGAAACCTGTGATAACATGTGATAAAACTGAGGAGGAAGAGTATTGGCATGACTGAAGAGGCATATTATCTCCCTAGGGAGAAGTTTGATCATCAATATATGAGTGACGTTTTAGAAATACCACTATAAGTGGTTGGGACTGTTTAGTAAGTCATACCTCTAGTTTTTAATTAAAAAGGTTTTTTTGTTTCTGCTTAAAGACAAATACTACTTATCCTTTGCTTGCTAGTAGAAATGCCAGAACCCAGATGCATCACAACAACTGTGTGGTTACCATGGTAATGAGCAGTCACATTGGGCATGTAGATAAAGACAGTAACAGATTTTATTTATTTTGTAAGGAAAGGCTTGTGTTAGCATAGGGCTAAGCAAAAAGTAGTTGCTTAGTAAATCCTGGTGGAATTTTCAATAGAGACAATGTTCCAGGATTACATCTCTTTTTCTGTTTCTCAAAGTCTCTTTCTATTTTAATAATTGGTAATGTCTATTGAGTGCTCACTGCATAGTAGGTCTTTAGTAAGCACTTTCAGGTTGGTAACTCATTTAATCCATTCAGCAACCATATGACGTAAGGGCTTCTATTAGCATTTTCATTTTACAAATGAAGAAATTGAAGTACAAATAAATTTAAAAATTTGCCCATAGTTGTAGTACCTGCCAGAGTTGAGATTTGAATCTAGAAGTAGCGTAACTCACAGTGGCCATGTTATGTTGCCCTGGAGTGGTCAGAGGAAATGAAGAATTCAAAGATGTCTGGCAGTCCAGAATATGGGGATCTGCTCGAGAAGATGTACTGAATAATTGGTCAGGTGATTGGAAAAGATAGCCACCTTTATCATGTTTGAGTTTTAAAAAGAAATTATGATTTTCTTTATCATTTTAATACTAGATTTTAAAAAGTATCTCTCCCTTCTGTTTTCTGACACAGGAACTTTGTGATCTTAAAAAACTCAGAATCCTAGACATAGCGGGAAATATTATTCGGATATTTCCATCAGGAGTAAGTAGAATCAACTTCTATTATAATTGAAAAATAATTTTGTTTATGCTATTGGGAATAGAAAAAAACATGGGCAGATGGTAAAACCTGTAGTAATTGGAACCTTAAATTATACAAATGACTCAAAGATTTGCTTTGTTTTAGAATTTCAAAACCTGTTCTCTCCTGTTTCTTTGTGTTCTGTGCCTGCTGAACTTGTTTGAACTAAGTGAACTCTGATTTCTATCATAAATATTTTAATATATCAGCTATGATTAAATTATTTGGTTATTACATACTGCTTTTGGTCACCTCTAACTTTTTGAAAATATTACTTTTCAGAGCATAAATTTTTATCCCTTGTAATTAATCCAAAGGTGACACTTTTGTTAGTTGTTTTTAAGCCATAAACAATTAAAAATATGCTTTTTTTCTCATTTGAAAATGAATTTTGACCTCGTTTTATTTCAAATACTGAGCAAGAGTTTGTCTTGGCAATTCCCAACTTTTGAGAAAGAAATGTCACTTTTTCCTATTGCATTTTTATATCCAAGTGAACATGCTTGAACATTCAAGGTAATAATTAGAAGTCTATCTATCCAGGAGGTATTCAATGAATAGTTGTTGACCCATTAATTATTTTTCCTGACTGATCAGTACTCTAAATTGAGGTTTCAGTCTTTTTTTTTACCCCCTAGAGCAGTATTTTATACTGAAGGTAATTCAAATATAAAAAAGTGAGTATAAAGTCTATGTTTTAGAAAAACATGTACAGTTTTTAAATTGTGGCAAAATAGACACAACATAAAATTTACATTCTCCCACTGAAACTCTCTATCCATTCAACTCTAGCTCCCCATTCCCTTTGTATACCTATTTTAGAAGTTTCTGTAAATACTTTGAAATAAAATATTTCCCCCCTCCATGGCAACCTACTATATGTCTCTGAATTTGACTACTCTAGGTACCTAGAGTAGTGTAAGTGGAACCAGATATTTGTTCTTTATCACTGACTTATTTCACTTAGTAAAATACCATTAACATTCATCCATCTTATAGCATATGTCAGAGTTTCCTTCCTTTTGAAGGCTAAATAATATTCAGTTACATGTATATATCACATTTTGTCTATCCACAGGTATCTGCCCACCTGTGGGACCTTGGGCTGTTTTCTCATTTTGGCTATTGCTGCTATGAGCATGGGTATACAAACATTTGTTCTTTACTTTCAGTTCCTCTGGGAACATACTCAGATAAAATTGTTGAGTCATATGGTAATTCTGTGTTTAATTTTTTAAAGAATCACCACAGTGTTTCCAAAAATGTGTAGATTTGAATGTTTAGTACAAATTGGATATTGCTAATATTGACCTCGAAAATGTGACATGATTTTACTTATCCCCTGGGTCTTAATTTAACTCTCTATGTCCTGTGATGCCTGCTTGACTTCCAAAACAGCCTTTTGGTGCCACTTCTTTGATACCACTGGTGCCACTACTACTTCTATGGTACCTTCTTGTGCCACTTTTTCTGTGGTATTTCGACGATATACTTGGGCAACATAATGGAGTAATTCATTTCAAGTCTTTCTTGCCCTTGGATGGTAAGCTTCCAGAGAAAGAATACTCTTTTTTACAAATTAGTCATTTTTTTTTTTTGAAATTCATATGGCTTTTGAACATTTGAAACTATATTTTCACCAGGACTTTTCTATAAACACTTTCCTTAAATGAATATTCTTCAATTATATGATTTTTAATCATTGGCTGTTCTTCTACCTTTTCTTTATAATATCTTCACTTTTTCTAACATTTTTATTTATTACCGGAATTAGAATTGGATTTTGAATGAACAAGCTTTTGAGAACAAGGATGATCTGAAATAAAATGTCTTTTATTTGTATCTCTCTTTAAGAGAATAATATTTCTGAAGTATGGCACCTTTAGTGGACAGTGGACAATCTGTGGTAACACTGCTGGTTGTTCAGCTAGTGCAGGAAATAGTGATGCTTGTTATATTAGTTTCCTAGGGTTGCTATAGCAAAGTATCATAAACTGGGGCTTAAAGGAGCATGGCTTTGTTTTCTCTTCTTAGAATGATACCAGTCCTTGGATTGTGGACCACTGTAATCCAGTATGACCTCATTTTAGCTAATTACATCTGCAAAGACTCTGTTTCCAAATAAATTCACCCTCTAAGGTTCAGAGTGGATATGACTCTTGGGGGACACTATTTAACCCGTTATACTTTGATAGAACATTGAGTTTGTTACTCTATTCAGTGTCTGCTAGGGCAATTGATATAAATATTGTTGATGAGGTTTATATGACATTCCAATTTCATAAACACTTACTGAGTACCTTCTCTGTTGCCAAGCTTTCTTCTAATCTGGGGAAGCAGGTAAACAAATATGGATGTTGCTGTCTAGAAACTTTGGAATTTGTGTTTGAAAAAATCTCTAAACATTGAAGTGAACCCTGGAGATATCATAAGAACAAGATAAATGCATGATTTTTAATGGCTGACAGAAATTTAAAATTAGAAAAATCAAAGATACTGGCATTAATTAACTTGAAGAAAGAAGCAAGTCAGGTAGGTGGTAATTTCATTGTTGATTTCAAAATACTAAGGAGAAAGTGGCCTGTTGCCTTCATAAGTTTTGACAATGGATCAAGAAAAAACTTCTTATTATTTACCACTAAAGGAATAGACTATCATCATGGGATTTCTGGGAAGAAAGGATTACTAATCTCTTTCTTTAGGGCAGAAAACTTGGTCTCTTAAGTAGTTGTGATTCAGTCTTTTCAACAGAAAAAAAAGCAAATCACTGAAATTTTATAGTTCCTTTGAAACAATTTTTAAAAAATCTTTTTATCACAGGTCTTCTTTCTCTGGCTCCTCTTTCTCTCAGGAGCCCAGTTATTTTTCAAACTGCAATCATTTGAAGAGAAAGATGACCTGACAAAAGTGAGAAAAAGTTTTAATGATCATCACCAGGAGGCATCATGAGGTTTGTCTTAGATGTGAAGTTTGTAGCAAAATATCATATATAAAACATTGCAGACCAAACAGAAAACTTCACATTTCAGTAAGCTCTTGGTTAGAATCCTCCATTAGCAATCTATCTGAGGACCTGTAGTATTATGACTACTTTTCAAATTCACGAGTAGTGTTCAAAGTTATCTTTCTGGATCAATACTTTGCCATTATCTAGAAATTTGCAAGTTACCAAATCTATCTGATATTGAATAATCCCTTGAAGAAGACAGATTTGTTACCATTATTCCCATTTGGAGCTGAGGATATTGAGGCTCCAGAGAAGCAGTTTGTCTGTAGCAGTGACCCTCAAATTTGAGTGTGCATCTGAATCCCCTGGATGGCTTTTTGAAACCCAGAAGGCTAGGCCCTCCCTCAAGGGTTCTGAGTCAGTAGGTTGGGGATCCCACAGGTTTGCATTTCCATTATGTTCTTGGGTAATGCTGAGGCTGTAAGTCTGGGAACCACACTTGGAAAACCATTGCCCTGAAGGATGGAACAGTAGCAGAGCTTGAACTTGCACTCAAGACTTTTGGCTACATGCTAAGGACTCCCACTGCCTCTGAGGAATCCATTCATTGTCTCAGGTTGGGACAGTCCCTGTAATGCTATACAAATAAGGCCTTTCTTTAAGCTTCCTGGGAGTCTGGGTTCTGAGAATTTCACTGTGTCCTTGACTAAAATGTTACTCAAGGAACATTCTTTGGGCAATAGAATTCTCGTATACTCTGAAAAATATTTCACGTAGAAACTAGGATTTTGGTATGTGAACACAAGGAATGCCTATATGGTTGGGGGCTGAGTTTTATATGTTTAATTTGGTTAGCCTTCTTTTTGGCCACACTGTGGATGTACTCAGTGCATATATGCCATTAACAAAACTTCTTGAACATTTATTCATTAGCCAATCTAAAAATTGGAGAGATTTTTTAGCATGTGAATTTAACACTAAATTTTATTTTGGAGAAATTTGGGGAAGGCCAAATCTTTACCTTGCTACTTTCATTTCTGAATTTTGTCTATAAGGTTCCCCCTTTGCATCGGGTGGTTATAGTTTGGAAGTGAAACTCAAGTGTAGCTAAAACATTTACAAGGATACAGATAAATGTGACAACTTATGAGAAAGTGCTTTCTTAAGAGTAGACACTTAAGAAATGTGCTTTAAAAGATGTAAATTATACCCAATGCTACATTTTCCACAGTTGCTGCTTTCTTTCAATTTCAAAGTCATGATATTAACATTCATGTGAATCTGTAGCTTCCATAAACACATTCTGTGTCAAAGTTAAGAATCTTAAGTATTTGTATATCCCTAAGGTTTGTAGGCACACACTGTTTTTGTAAGAAAAAAAAAAATATAAAGAGGGAAAGCCTCATGCAGTGATGTTGTCATGAGAAAAATTATGCTTGGGCTATTTATGGGAAATCATAGTTATAGCACCTATTCCATTTCATCAATGCCCCCTTTTTCCTTCAAGAATTCTTTAGAGTTATCATAAATCAAATTTGAGAATAGTGGAAGCAGTTTCCTCTTTTACAGTATGAGAAACACAGCAGGAAAAAGAATGGAAGCAACTTTCCCAGAAACACAAATCATTTGAATAGTCAGGAGAAGATTTGAATCCATTTTTCCCAAGCCAAAATTAAATTTGCCTAGCTTAACAGTGTACCCATTATGTGACATTGGACAGGTCTTGTATCATCACATTGCTAGGAAAGTGTCTCACACAACAGTTCGTGGTTAGTAATGATAGAATGAGTGAATTATTAAATGAGATAATGTATATGAATTATTATTAGTGTTTGGCACATGATAGATATTGAATGTTGTTTTCTTGTCATTTTAAGGTTTGGTCTGAGATACCTTCCCTTCAATCCACCCCAAATTTAGGGTTATCTCTGAAGGCTTTCAAAGCCATGATATCACCTGAATGATTGTAACTTGCAACTGTTAAGGTAACCAACTGATCTTTACCCAAGGGTGTACAAGAGTGGCTGGTTTCAGCAGTACACACATACTGCTTCCTATTCCCCAGGTTGTCTTTGCCCTGTTCCAGGTTATTTTCTTCTGCGGATTCCTTTACATTCTTTAGTCTTACCTTCTTTGGGCAGCAAAACAGAACCAATAAACTATCTCCCTGAAGGGGTCTCTTTTCCCTGGCTCTTTGCCTTTGGTTTTCCGTTTATTTATGTCTTATCCTTTCCCTCTCCCTCTTGGTTCATTTGGTTTCTGTTTGCCAGACCAGATCAGATTCCTCTGGAAATAGGACCTCTCATTACTGAATTCCCTGTGCCTTAGACACTTCACTTAACTTGTTGCCTACTACTTATTCTGATGTCTCTTCTTTCTTTGGATATTTTTAATTTAAAAGGATTTCTCTTTTCATAGCCAATGCTGAATGATTTTGATCCACACCAGTGTAAGCTTATCTTGCTATAATGTCCTTGGGTTCAGACGCTTGCCTGATGTCTAGCATGGTACATACCCTGGTTTGCTGTCATTTTCTGTCTAATTCAAATAGTCCCAGTACTCCCGGTATCATCTATATCTATATCATCTATATCTATATCTATATCTATGTATCTATATATCTATCTGTGTTTGTGTGTATATATATAATATATGTATACATTTGTGACTAATACGAAGTCAAGTGAAGAAAGCCATTTTATTTTTGAATGATTCTCATCATTTCCAAATGAACTCACCTGACTTCGATAGAATGATTTCCATATATGAGCAGTAATACACAAATATGTGCACATGCAGACAAGCATTCCTAGGGACACCATTTAGTTTTACATTAACAAAAATATTTCTGTGAGATTGATTGAACACTTGGAGATTATCTATTTCAAATATAAACACATCTATGATCAAAAATGTCCCCAAGTGGTCTAGAAAGTGCAATACAATTGTGGGAAAGAAACTGCTTGGGAAAGTAAAATTGTGATGTTTGCCTTCTGTCAAAACTTTTGAAACTCTTTTGCAAAATGGTTAGAAAACAGCCTACAAGTTTAAAAGTGATACATAGGGAAATGTCCATAAAGCTGTGGTCCAGAACATCCCTGAATATCTTCACAGTCTAGTGATTTGCTTGGAAGTATCCACTTTGCTCAAATGGCATGAGAAATTCCAGTTGGCTGCCTCATCCCCTTTGTTGTTCTGCCTCTTTCAATTAGCAACATTAGAGATCCACTTTATTTTGGTTCCCATTTGAATAGTTTGTTTTCTCTCTCTGTTTAAGATTAAGGAAAAGTATGCCCTATTCTTGAAGCTCATTAAATGCCTCTCTAAAATTTGACCTTGATTTGAAAATAGAATAATTCTCTTTGGTTGTCAATGCTCCCTTCAGTGGCTCAGTTTATTAGGAGACATACATTTAAAATAACATTCACTGACCTTTTAAAAAATGGGACACAAGCCAATGCTTTTCTAATGGAAACCCCTTGTGGGTTCTGTGGTTTTATGTAAGTGATGTAAGCTTAGCTAATATAGAATTCATGAGTTCCAAAACTTGACTAAATGCTTTCCCTGTCACTACTTTTATGAGAATGAGATCATGTTTTCTGCTGTTTCTTATATGGGGGTGGGCGAAGAGGAGGGTATCGAATTATGTGTTATTGCTTCTTTTACCATTCTAATTCTAAAATTTCATGGGGTAGACTTTTGGAAATGAAAAGCAGAGAGAAAAAAATTATAAAATATTATCTTCGATGCAATGGTGATTTTGTTCAAACTCTGTTTTAAAAATTGAAGACCCAATTAAGTTAGGGAATACAACTATCTCTGTTTAAATTACGTAATTTGAGTTCTGACTTTCTACTTCTATATGTGATTTTATTAGAATTAAAGATAAACTGGTCCTGAATGCCTATAAAGTGTAAGTGCTGCAAAGGACCCTGTTTCACATGGTATAGTGGTTGGTGAACACCATTTCACCAACCACTATCACTAGCTACTCTTGAAAATTTTATTCTTCTAGCCAAGTACCTAATGAAAGTGATTCAGGAGATAAAAGGGATGCCTTGCTTACCTTCAAAATGGAGATCCTCAAATTTCAGCAGCATTCACCTCTCTTGTTAAGAGGTAGGAAGGACAGGATCATAAAGTCAGAGAGCTGGAACTTCTGTGTTTTCTGGTGTTGCAGTAAAAGTGGAGTTCAAATGATTTCAAAATCAGGGCCAGTATTTTTCAGAAAGTAAACTTAAATAATTTGCAATATTATAAAGAAAGACTGATTGAAATCAAATGTGGCTCTTGTGCAGACTGTTTAAACATTGATTTTCATTTAGATTATTTCTCTCTCTCTCCCTTCCCTCTCCAAGTAATCTCTATGGAGGTGGGGGACTTTGTTCCCTTTCACTGATGTATTTTAAACTTATAACAGTGCTTGGCACAGAGTAGGCACCCAATAAATAGTTACAGAAAGGATGGGTAGACGGATAGATGGATGGGTGGGTGGGTATGGATTTTATGTAACAAACATGATTGCTTTGCTCTTCTGAGAAATCAAAACTAATTTGTGACAATTAATAACAAAGTTGTTCTAAGGCAGTGGTTTTCAACTAGGGAAGATTTAGCCCTCCCTCCATGTCCCCGGGATATCTGGAAATATGTGGAGCTATTTTTTGTTGTGAAAACTGAGGAGCGGTACTACTGGCATTTAGTGAGTAGAGGCCAGAGATCCTGCTAAATGTTCTGTAATGCATAGGACAGTCCCCCATAACAAAGTATTACCTGGCCCAAAATGTCCAGGTTGAGGTTGAGAAACCTTGTAAGGGACTGACTATTTCTTTATGTTCTCCAGGCCTTAATCCCAATAAAATATATTCTTATCAAATAGATTTTAGAATGTATAAGAATCAGCAACGAGCTTGGTAAAATGTTGATACCTGGGCCCCATGCTCATATATTATAAATTATTGCTAATAATGTTTTTGGATTTAAAGTTGAATTTTTTCTGATATGAATATAGCTATATTATTTATAAATATGTATTATATATTTTGATTCATGTTTACATGATATATGTGTTTTCACAGCCTACTTTTAACCTTTCCATATCCTTATATTTTAGATGTATCTCTTAAAAATACCATATAATACTTCATTTAAAAAATCCATCTGACTATTCTTTCTTTCTCTTTGTTTGAGATGAGGTCTTGCTATTTTGCCCAAGCTGATCTTGAGCTCCTGAGGTCAAGCTATCTTCCCACTTCAGCCTCCTGAGTAGTTGGGACTATAGGCAGGTGCCACTTTGCCCAGCCTGCTGGGTATATGTAATTCGTTTTACTTGTTCTGTACTCCTTTTCTCCTTTTTTCTTGCCTTCTTTTGAAATAATTGGATACTTTTTATGACTCATTTTTAAAAATCTTATGAAATTTTATACCATTTTACTATTCTTTTTTAAAAATTTTCTTTTATTTTAGGTTCTGGGATACATGTGCAGAATGTGCAGGTTTGTTACATAGGTAAACCTTCTCCATGGTGGTTTGCTGCATCTATCAACCCATCACCTAGGTATTAAGCTCCACATGCGTTAGCTATTTGTTCTGATGCTCTCCCCTGCGCCACTCTCCCAATAGGCCCCGGTGTGTGTTGTTCCCTTCCCTGTGTCCATGTGTTCTCATTGTTCAGCTCCCACTTACGAGTGAGAACATATGGTATTTGGTTTTCTGTTCCTGTGTTAGTTTGCTGAGGATGATGGCTTTCAGCTTCATCTAGGTCAAATAAAGAGATGGAAGAAAATTTACCAAGCCAATGGAAAGCAGAAAAAAGCAATGGTTGCAATTCTAGTTTCTGACAAAACAGACTTTAAACCAACAAAAATTAAAAAAAAGACAAATAAGGGTAATATATAATGGTAAAGGGATCAATTCAACAAGAAGAGCTAACTATCCTAAATATATATGCACCTAACACAGGAGCACCCAGATTCATAAAGCAAGTCTTAGAGAACTACAAAGAAACTTAGACTTCTACACAATAATAGTGGGAGACTTTAATGCCCCATTGGCAGTGTTTGACAGATCATTGAGCAGAAAATTAACAAGGATATTCAGGACTTGAACTCATCTCTGCATCAAGTGGACCTGATAGATATGTATAAAACTCTCTACCCCCAAACAACAGAATATACAGTCTTCTCAGTGCCACATGGCACTTACTCTAAAATCGATCACATAATTGGAAGTAAAGGACTCCTCAGCAAGTGCAAAACAACTGAAACCATAGCAGTCTCTCAGACCCCTGTGCAATCAAATGAGAGCTCAACATTAAGAAACTCACTTAAAACTACACAACTACATGGAAATTGAACAACCTGCTCCTGAATGACTCATAGGTAAATAATGAAATTAAGGCAGAAATCAAAATGTTCTTTGAAACCAATGAGAACAAAGAGGCAATGTACCAGAATCTCTGGGATGCAGTTAAGCGGTGTTAAAAGGGAAATTAGTAGTAGTCAATGCTCACATCAGAAAGCTAGAAAGATCTCAAATTGACACTCTAACATCACAACTAAAAGAACTAGAGAAGCAAGAGCAAACAAATCCAAAAGCTAGCAGAAGACAAGAAATAACTAAGATCAGAATGGAACTGAAGGAGATAGAGACATGAAAAATCCTTCAAAAAAAAAACCATGCCAAAACCAAAAAGCAAAAAAAAAAAAAAAATGGGAAAAAAAAATCCATGAATCCAGGAGCCAGTTTTTTGAAAAAATTAATAAAATAGATAGACCACTAGCTAGACTAACAAAGAAGAAAATAGAGAAGAATCAAATAGGCACACTGAAAAACAATAAAGGGCATATCACCACTGACCCCAAATAAATAGAAACTACCATTAGAGAATACTACAAATATTTCTGTGCAAATAAACTAGAAAATCTAGAAAAATTTCCTAAATTCCTAGACACATACACCTTCCCAAGACTAAACCAGGAAGAAGTCAAATCTTTGAATAGACCCATAACAAGTTTTAAAATTGAGGCAGTAATAAATAACCCACACACACACACAAAAAAGCCCTGGACTAGATGAATTCACAGCTGAATTCTACCAGAAATACAAAGAGGAGCTATACTATTCTTTCTGAAACTATTCAAAATAATTGAAAAGGAGAGACTTCTCCCTAACTCATTTTATGAGGCAAGCATCATCCTGATACCAAAACCTGGCCGACACACAATAAAATAAGAAAACTCGAGGCCAATATCTCTGATTAATATTGATGCAAAAAATCCCCAATAAAATACTGGCAAACTGAATTCAACAGCACATCACAAAGCTTATCCACTATGGTCAAGTTGTCTTCATCCCTGGGATGCAAGGCTGGTACAACATATGCAAATCAATAAACATAATTCATCACATAAATAGAACCAATGACAAAAACCCCATGATTATCTCAATAGATGCAGACAAGGTCTTTGATAAAATTCAACATCCCTTCATGTTAAAAACTCTCAATAAACTATGTATTGATGAAATATATCTCAAAATAATAAGAACTATTTATGACAAACCCACAGCAATATCACACTGAAAGGGCAAAAGCTGGAAGCA